TACCATTAAGCCACACCCTGTGCCCCAAGCCTCGGCTTTTTACAGCTTCCACTGGGACTCAAACGATAGCAGTTGGGCCAAGACCCAAACTCATTTATGCAAAGAAAGGAATATGTTTTTCTAATAGCTTGGCAACCCTAACCCAATCAATAAACTCGGGGGGCCTCTAAACACAGCAGGAGCCCGAGGGACAAACGCTATGCAGAAGTTTTCTAGCCATCTCCAGAATCAAGAGGGGCTTCCTGAGGTGCCCTAAATGCAGGCCTTCCGCAGCACCCTGCCAGGACACTGAGAGTCCGCAGCACTGGGGGAACCTAACCTTGCCATGCCAGACCGCCGGGGCCCTCAGACCGCCGCAGGGCCCGGGCCACTGCTGCTGCCATTTGTTCTTCAAGGTTTGTCACCTAGGTATTTGCTTGATATTTATAGTTATTATTCTTTTCTTGAAAACTCCCAAATTAAAACAGAGTGGATTGGGCTGGGAAGTCGGCTCAGTGGTAGAGCGCTTGCCTTGCATGCCTGAGGCCCAGGGTTCGATTCCTCAGCACTATATAAGCAAAAAAAGAAAAAAACCCGGAAGTGGTGCTGTGACTCAAGTGGTAGAGTGCTAGCCTTAAGCTAAAGAGCTGAGGGACAGCGCCCAGGCCCAGACCGGACCCAAAAAAATAAAAAATAAAACAGAGTGGATGGCCAAAAAAACATTCCCACAACCCCCAGCAACTCCCTCGATTTGAAGGTCCTCTAGAGGGCGTGGAAGGAAATTGAAGGAGAGCTGGCATGTATTCCATTGGGGGTATTTAAGGGTTCCAAAACCTATCTCTAAGCTTGGGGACTTCAAATACAAATATGAGGTTGGAAGAGGAATTCTGGATCGCTTGGTTATGGAAAAGGTAGTTTTGCATTTAAGAAATTATACAGGAGGGGCTGGGAAGGTGGCTCAGTGGTAGAGCGCTTGCCTTGCATGCATGAGGCCTTGAGTTCAATTCCTCAGCACCACATAAGCAAAAAGAAAAAATGCCGAAGTGGCACTGTGGCTCAAGTGGTAGAGCACTAGCCTTGAGCTGAAGAGCTGAGGGACAGCGCCCAGGCCCAGAGTTCAGGCCCCACGACCAGACCAAAAAAAAAAAAAAAGAAATTATACAGGAGCTGGGGGCAGGGGAGGGCCGCTGGCCTGTAATCCCAGCTATGTGGGAGGAAGAAGTGGAATGATTCTGGTCTAAGGCCACTCCTGGGCAAAAAGAAAAGGCCCCATCTGAAAAATAACTAAAGCAAAAGGGTTTGGGGGGGGGGTGTTATGGCTCAAGAGGAAAAACTCCTGTCTAGCAAGGGCAAGGTCTCAAGGTCAAACCCCAGTATTGCCCAAAAAAGAGACACACAAACATATACCCCCCCACACACACACACGCCCACACACGGATGCATGCACAACTCTTAGGCATCTCCTGCCTCTGAAACCTTAATCAAATCAAAACCTCATCCCTGACTCATCTGTGTGACTAAAAATAAAGGTGCAGAGTAAAACTCGGCTGAATTCAGCGTGGAATGCTGTGGGCACGGCACATGTGCGCTGTGTCAGATGTCAACACAGCACAGGCAGGTTCAGCCCCCACGTGAAGTGACAGGCCCAGGTTTGCCCTGGAGCACAAGACCCACGGACTGCAAAGCCCAAGCATGGCTTAGTTCCACATGCTACACGTGGATCGCGGGTGGTACAAAAATCCACAATGGAGTGAAGAACTTAAGTTGCAGAGCCCACGCAAACACCCTCCACACAGCACTGTGTACAACCCAACTCCTGCACCTGTGTCCCATACCCTCACCCAATTAATGAAATGCCTCCATCAGAAAGAATGACATCACCCCATTTGTTAGGAAATGGAAAGACTCGGAATAAATTATATTAAGTGAAGTAAGCCAGGCCCAAAGAAACACAGGTCCCATGGTTCCCCTTATTTGCAATAACTAGTATATGTCTGGGACAAGCAGAAAAGGTCAAAAGCTATGTACATATGACCAGATAAGATGATGTTAAGCGAAATGACTCCCAAGATAGGGTCACAAGTGGTTTTTTCTTTCTTGCTATTGTTTCCAATGTATTTATAAAGTACCATGTGATTTTTTTGTTTCTTTGTACGTTCCTCCCCCATGGTATAACCCCTGTTTTCACTGTATTTGAGGTCAGTGCCCTGCATCTTGTTTATACACTTCTCTAATTTGGGGAGGGGAAGGGAAAAAACAAAATGTTTAAATAGGGATGCAAGTTGACCCATTGTAACAGTAAGATGCACAAGACACTATGTTGAAAAATGAACTTTACAATTTAGGCAGGGGTGGAGTGGAATGTGGAGGTGGAATAGGAGGGAAGGGATGGTAGGGGAAAACAAAGGAGGAGGTAACAATGCTTGATAGGAAATGTACTTATTACCTTGCTCATGTAACGGTACCCTTTCTGTACATCATTTTTACAATAAAAACATATAAAAATAAATAAAATCACACAAACTTGTGTGATGAGGGCAGCGGCCTGTCACTCCAAAGTAGACCAGCCCCCTGGAAACGTCTCTGGGTGAGAGTAGCCAGCAATGTAGGTTACTGCAAGCTTTTGCATGGCCTCCTGAGCTCATTAAAAATGAAACAAACACCTATTCTGCACAGTTTATCCTAGGTTCCGGAGGTGCTAACTTTAACATACACTCCCCCTCCCCCTCAACACACTCACACACACAGACACACACATACACACACACACACACACACACACACACTTTTGACACTGCAGAATACATGCAGATAGCAGTAAATTCATTCCTGGTGCATAGCACATTAGTAAGTGCAAGTCATACATCAGAAAACCCAGTTGGGACCATGCCTAGGGCCCTAGGAGAATGTTTTCCAGTGAGTTCCACAGTGCCGGGCCTGCAGACCCTCTCCACCAGCAGCATGCTCTGGGAGGAAACTTTTACTCTCAGCACTCTGAGGAAGGAGGAAAGGGGTAAAGCTGTGGCCTGGCATGCAGCTCTCCCTCTTCTCTGCCTCACTGTTACCAGCCCTGGTGCCCACATCGATGGCACCTCCTGCTCTCCTGGACACATCCCAGGACAAGGGGCTGGCCCGTAACTCTCATGGTGTCTGTTCACAGGAAAAATGGCCAAAGTGTCAGGCCCTAAGCCTAGCTGGGAGGGCAGGCTGCACTCGAACGGCTGCTCAGAATACACCAGGCTCCAAACACCGCAGCTCACGGAGAACACCTGACACATGCGTGTCTCCTCATGCCTGGTGACACATGCGTGTCTCCTCATGCCTGGTGACTCCAGAAGCCCTCCCCTCACTCTATCCGCCTTTCAAGGCCCTAGCCTCGCTCAGCTCACTCAGCCAGCACCGGCCACTCCTCAGATGGGGAAGGTGAGGAGAAAGCAAAGCCTGAGATTCTGGGACTTTCTCAAGGGCTCTTTGTTTGTAACTTGTATAGAACTTTATTTTTAATCGATGGTACTGGGGTTTGAACTCAGGACCCTGAGCTCGCCAGGCATGTACTCTATCACTTGAGCCACACGCCCCCAGCCCTAAAACAAAACCTCAAAACCTGTTTATCTCTGAAGCCAGGAGCACCTGACACCCTGGTTGATCTCCGGTCCTGGTACAATCAGGTACTAAGTGCAGGGCAGCCTGCCCAGCCGCAAGATCAAATAAGATGGGTGTAGACTGGGTGGTCTGGCTGCAGACAGAAAATTTTAAATGAAAAGCTCTATGCTTTCAGGGAGGGGAGAAATACACTCCCCCTCCCCTTGCCCCCAGGCCCCAGGATGAGCATTAGCAATCTCCATGTGAGGACAGGCAAGCACTCTGGGGCTTTGTCAAACCATAACATGACGTTTTAAAAAATCAGTATGAAAATTTCTATATCTAAAAACGTCCTGGTTCATTCTCCACACGTACAGGTCACCTGTGCAGCTCTGAAGGACTCTTCAGTACCCAAGCACCTAGACTCTAAGTACCCAAGCACCTAGCCTCTCAGCACTCAAGCGCCTAGAAGATCCCACACTTCCTCTAGCTGCCACACACATCCATGACGTGCACTTCCCACCGGCAGCGTAGTCCCCAAATGTTACCCAAATGCCCAACTAGATGAAAGGGAAGAGTGACACCCTCCCCGCTTCTCGTGCATGGGAGGGGGGACGGTTGGGTGCGGGGTCTCCCAGCCCGGCCCGGGCCCCCCCCCCGCAGCCAGCCACCTTCACGCGTGTTCGCCACACGCTGTGGGTTTACACACGAGATCATTACATAAGGAGCTGGCCGCGCGGAATGCGCTACAGTAACCTGTTTGGAATCAGAGGATGCAGTTGTCCCCGCGGCGCATGCGCGCCAAGCCGAGCTCAAGGCAAGAGGTAACTGTCGGTCAAACGCCGCGAGCCCCGCTGGCTGGATACAGGATGCTAAAAATGAAGCCGAGCGGAGGGCGGGGAGCCCCGCGCGCACGCGGCGCTGCGGGAAGGGCTCGCGGGGCTCGGGGCACCGACCCGGCGATGGGCGGCCCGGGGCCGGGGTCCTCCGGCCGGCCGGAGGTCCAGCCCGGACGGGCACTGGCCGCCTGGTGCGGGCGGCGGCGCGCGGGGCGGACGGACGCCCGGGCATCCGTGTCCACGCAGCGTCCTCGCCGGGACCCGCCGCCCCTCCAGCCCGCAGCCCGCCGGCGGCGCGGGCCGGCTCCGCCTCTCGTTCCTCCGCCGGTGCCCGGCGCTCCCCAGGCCCCGCGCCCGCCCCGCGCCCGAGCGCCAGGTGACCCGAGCCCGGCCGCTCTCCCCCGGTGCGGACCCGCGGGCGGGTCTCGGCGCGTTCCCGCACCCCCGGAACGCAAAGCCCAGCCCCGCGGTGGAAGCGGCGCTCACTGACCATGGCGGTGCCGACCGAGAAGGCGGCCATCAGACAGGCCATGCCCCGGGGGCGGCGCGGCGGCGGCGGCGGCGGCGGCGGCGGCGGCGGCGGCGGCGGCGGCGGCGGCGGCGGCGGCGGCGGCGGCGGCGGCGGCGGCGGCGGCGGCGGCGGCGGGCCGAGGCTGCGTGCGCTGCGGGCTCTGCCGCGGTGCCGGGCGCGGACTGCGCTCCGGCTCAGGATGTGCTGGAGCGCGGCCCCGCCCCGCCCCGGCCGCCCCGCCCTGCGATTGGCCGGCGCCCAGGGGGCGGGGCCGGGGCGGGGCGCGGGCAGGTGCGCGTGCTCTTGTTTTGCTCCTGCGGGAGCGGCGCGCTCAGCGGACCCCGCTGCGGCCACCGGCCAGCCCAGCGCTCCGCCGGACGCCCCGACCTCGCAGGTGCGGGTCCGGGAGGGCCTGGCGAGCCGCTGGGCGGCCCGCTTGGAGCACAGCGGTTCCCGCCTTGGGGCAGCCTTGAAATCGGAGCTGGACGGAGAGGGAGGGTAGGGGTCGAACAGGTGGACTCTTTGCCTTGTCCTTCTGGTTGTTGGGCCCAGCAGGCCAGATGGAAGTTAATGACGCGGGCACGGTGGCTCACGCCCCTAACCCTAGCTCCTGGACCCGCTGAGCGCTGAGGATCACGGTTCTAATGCAGCCTGGGCAGGAAAGTCTATGCGAATCTTATCTCCAATTAACCAGAAAAGCCAGCAGGGAGCGGTGGCTCCAGTGGTGGAGAGCCGGCCTTGAGCAACAACACAGGAAAAAACTGCAACAGAACACGAACAGTGCTCAGGCCGAAGGCCAGCCTCAGGCCAGCACACCATCACCATCACCACCATCACCACCACCACCGCCCTCCTGCTCCAACCCCACCTCCAGCCTGGGGAGACACGCTCACACACTGAGCACCCCACCGGGAGCTCTGCTGTGCTTCAAGTAAAGCCCTGTGCTGGACCCTTGCTGCCCAGCCCTCCCCCTTCCCTAAATGAAGGAAAGGCTCGTTTTTTGCAGACAGAAGGCATTTTAGCGCAGCTAATATAAGGGATGACACCCGGGAACTCTCTCATCTGGTGGTTTGGCATCTGCAGAAGGCCTCATTATATGTAAGTGTGGCGGTGTCCTGATAACCATAGCGACAAGGCACCCTTGCCACCTGCTTCCTGGTTACAGAGCCCCTCTCTGTCTGTCTTCTCCCCTCTCTGTCTGTCTTCTCCCCTGCCAAGGGGGCAGGTCCCTGGGTAGCACACTGGCAAGCTGGTGACTGTGGCCAAGTGGCCCCTCAAGTCAAGAGAGGAAAGCAGGTGCTCTGAGGTTAGAAGGAGAGGGGTAAAACTGGGGTCACCCCAGTTTTACACTAACTAGCTCCGATGGGGGAAATCTTCTGTATTCTGAAAGCTGCTGTCTGGTGTCAGGCCCAGGAGCCCAGGGGGACCTTGAACATGCTGGACAGGAAGGCTGACTAGAGAGGATTTGAATCCCCAGACTTCTCATGGAGAGAAGATGGCTCTGGGGAACACGACTGCTCGACAGCCTCAGGGACCCCTACTTGCTCCAGGGTTGAGCCGCACCTTCAGGAGAGGAGATAGAGAATGCAGAGCAAGAGGGAATTTCTGTGTGACCAGTCAAGTGATGTGACAGTGCTGGGCGTTGCCTGTCCCATGAGCTTCTATGTGCTGTGCCCTATCCATTCTCCCCCGCTCCTAGTAGTGTGTTTGAAATTTCCTTTGGGAAATGAATCCCCCCTTTTCGCTTCCTCTGTTGCTCCGTCTGCGGTTCGCACTGGACAGTGTTGAGGTAGCTGTTGGCAGCATGACACAGGAGTGCTAGCAGTCTAACGCCTCTTTCTCCAGCGCTTGGAGAGGTGTTTGCCTGGCTCTGGCCTTTGACAACCCAAAGCTCTGACGTCTGCAGTCAGGAGCCGAACTTGATTCGGGTACAACTGCACGCCCTCATGTCATTGCACTGGGAGGGGCGGGGGCTCCCCTCAGTCCCCAGCACAGGGTTAGGCTTCCGGGATGGCAGCCCAGGGCTGTGAGGTACAGAGGGGAGCAGAGGGAAGAGCCCAGAAAGTCGAGATGAGAAGATGCAATTAACAAAGGAATGTTTTCAGAAAGAAAAAAAAGTGAAGGAGGCTGAGATCTGAGGATCGTGGTTCACAGTCAGCCTGGGCAGGAAATCTGTGAGACTCTTATCTCCAATAAACCACCAGAAAACCAGAAGTGGTGCCGTGGCTCAAGTGGTAGACTGTTCGCTTTGAGCTGAAGAGCTGAGGGACAGGGCCCAGGCCCTGAGTTCAAGCCCCAAGACCAATAACAACAACAACAACAAGAGTGAGTCAATATTTCACAAACTAAGCTGGGTCAAGAGACCAGGGAAGTGCCATAAACAGATGGTTTCTGCTGAGCTCTGCTAGCATGAACCCAGGATGACTGGGATAGAGTTCCTCACTGTGTCTTCAAAGGAAGAAAAAGGAAATGCCATCTGCAAATGAATGACCTTCAAGCTGATGATTAGGGTGATGTCTCAGACATTCACAGACACCGGAAAATTCCTGGAGGTCTCCTTACCACACGTAATTAAACCATCCTGTCACCTCCATGAAAGGTTCATTTTAGAAAATAACAGTAGCCGTGGGCTGCTCTGTCTGCTTTTCCTTAGAGGGAATCGGCCGGGACTCCTGGACATAGCCCCCTGGACCACATCCCACGCGAGCCAGCCAGCCTTCCGTCCACCGCGCTGTTTCTGCACTTACATCCCAACGCCTTTCGGAGCTGCAGGACCCTCCTGGACCCCAGAGAGGGCTCTTTCCCTCTGGCTAAGAAGCCAGGCACAGCAGTCCTACTTCTTGGACTAGCCTATATTGTAGAAAAGACAAAGGACTTGGGGTAGTTAAGACAAATTTGGCAAATGGAAAAGAAGGGAAAATTAGTTTGTAAGAATTTTTTTTCCAGCCAGGCAGTGGTGGTTCACACCGGTCATCCTAGCTATTCAGGAGGCTGAGATCTGAGGATCGTGGTTCAAAGCCAGCTGGGGAAGAAAAGGCTGTGAGACTGTTTTCTCCACTAAAACTACCAAAAATGCTGGAAGTGGAGCTGTGGCTCAAGTGGTAGAGTGCTAGCCTTGAGAAAAAGAAGCTCAGGGACAGCGCTCAGACCCAAAATTCAAGCCCCAAGATTGGCACCCCCCCCCGAAACTTGTTATAGAAATAACTTTTGTTAACATTTTTTGATAAGTTTTGTCAAGGTTTTTTGGTCTTGTCAGAAAGAAAGACACAAAGATCAATGGAACAGAACCAAAAACCGAGTCATTTGCATGCAAATATGGCCATGCGATTTCTTCCCCGTGGGAATGGGGAGACAATACTGGAGTTTGAACTGAGGGCCGTGTGCTTGCTAGGCAGGTGCTCTAACATTTGAGTCATGCCCCAGCTCTCTGTCAAATGATTTGTGACAAAGGTACAAGGACAGATCGCTGGATGAAAGGCAATGCTGCTGAAATAATTAGATATCCATAGGGGAAAAGAAAAAAGACAAAAAGAACCTGAGCCTGAGTCTCACAGCGTATGCAGAAATGGATCATGGGTTCAGAGCTTGAGTCTCACAGCGTATGCAGAAATGGATCATGGGTTCAAAAGCCAAGCAGTAGGTCTTGAAAAAAATAGAAGAAAAAAGATCTAGGGTTAGACAAGTTCTTAAAGCATCACCCATGAAATGAAAATTGATAAACTGAACTACATCAAACTGTAAACTGAGAAGGATCTGTTCAGAAGATGACAAAGTCAGATACTATTCAGGAGAAAGTGTTATGCCAGCATCATGTTGGACTGGGTACAGTGAAAGGTTTTCAAAGCATAACTGTTTAAAAAAGTTAACCTCACTTAAAAAAAAGGCACCAAGCATGAAGAAACATTTCACTGAGATAACCAACAGGCATGTCAGAGGACACCCACCCGGCTAGCAGGTACAGGAATGCCAATGAAAGGCATAATGAGGTAACACTACACACCTGCTCAAATGCTACAATAATAACACAGTGCAACACCAAGTTCCACAACAGCAGATGTGAGGGTGTGGAAAAGCCAGACCTCTCACACGTGGCTGGAGATATAAAAGGCACCCTGGCGGTGCATTGCCATGGCACTCACTCCAAAGCGCAGAGTCCAGAGACACAGAGATGTCCATCCACAGCAACCTGCACGTGAAGCTCCAAAGCATGTGGTAACCCAAGATTGGGAAACATCCAGGTGGCCTTCAACTAGAACAATCTGTGATCTGTGGCATGGAATACTACTTAGCAAGCAAGCAAGAAAACTGTGAAGAATGTGTAGCAACCTGAACAAATCTCCAGAATATTCTCCTGGAAAAGCAAGCTCGGGGAGCTGTGTGCAGTCACATTCTTGAAATGATGAAGTTACACAAACAGGGGCCATGTGAGCGGGGTGAAGGCTGGGGTGGAAGGGGAGAGGACGAGGCTGTAACAGGGAAGAGGAGGCAGCTGTGGGCTCAGCTCTGTGTCTCCCTGGTTGCCAATGTCAATATTATGGTTGGGACCTTGGGCTTCAGTTGTGCAAGGAGTTACCGCGGGAGACCCAGGGGAAGGGATGCACCACCGTGTCTTGCTCTTGTTCCAAAAACCACACATGGCTCTCCATTTGCCTCAAATCCCGAAGGTGAATGTCTAAGCGTCATGAGAGAGTCCTGAGCCAGGCTGGTGGACATGGGGCCACCTGGGACCCGAGCAGCGGGCCGCTGAGCAAGGGGGTCTTGGCGACTCTCTGGTTAATTGCCAACTGGGTCGAGTGAGGGCAGCCCCATTCCTCCGTCCACAGATGACTCAGAAGAGGCAATCTACGTAAGGGAATAGGCGGGGAAGGTGGCCCACAAGCCCAAGCAATCAGTGGGAAGGCAGGAAGCCTTGCCCCCCCGCCCCAGACTTGTGCGTGTGCATTGCAGAGGGTGGTGAGGAGACAGCTGTACTAACTGTGCGGTCCAGGCCAGGCCCTGCTCACCCAAAGCCTTGCTCTACCAGCCAGGGGGACTAAAACCAGCACCCTGTGCCTACTGAGGAGGAAGGTAGGAATTTGGATTACTGGCA